CCTGGCGCAGCCCCGATTGGCAACAGACCCGACGCGTTCCGTCCAAACCGAACGCCAGGTTCGGCACTCGCCCAGCACGAAGGGACGGCAGCTGCGGTCGCCAGTTGTCTCGCACCGGAGGTGGCGCTCGCAAAAAACGGATGTAGCCGAGGCTCAAGCAAACGTACCAATCTCACGCACGGATGCGGCTGGCGCTGGGACGGTAGCACAAATCTTGGAAATTGATGTGGCTGGCGCTTGGGCGGAGCACCATTCTCCCATGAGGGCTGTGGGAACCGTGCGAGTGGAGCGGCATCACAATAGTCAATGAGGGGCGTGCCTGGCGCTGCGAAATTGGTGCCGCGTTCCATGAAGGATTTGGCCAGCGCGCAGACGGCAGCATGCCTCCCAGACAGGGGTGTGGCCAGCGCTCGGGCGAGAGCGCCAATTCCATCCAGGAATGGGGCTTGTGCGCGACTGGCAGCGTCGTCTGCAATGAGGGCTGTGGCTGGCTCTGAGGCGACAGTACCGCTCGTATTGGAGAGTGTGGTCAGTGCTGGGGTGGCTGCGCCAATCTTGGATCAGGATGCGGCCACGGATGGGCGAGAGCACCATTGCCGAAGTATTGCAAACCGCGCGAGCGAAGCGAAGGAGGAGGTGAAGGAGGAGGAGGAGGAGGAGGAGGAGGAGGAGGAGAAGGAGGAAAGGGAGGAAGAGGAGGAGGAGGAGGAGAAGGAGGAGAAGGAGGAGGAGGAGGAGAAGGGGGAGGAGGGGAAGAGGAGAAGTGGGCTGTGGGAAAGCTGAGAACAAGTGCAAGCGATGATCCTACGGCCCCGTAGGAAGGCAGGGTTCACATAGCGTCCCCCCAGGAGCTCCACTTGTGGGTCCAGTGTCAAAGTTCGCACCGCGTCGTTCCGCCCGTCTCGGCACACCCATCACACGGATCGTGTCCCAGAGGGATGTAGTTCACGTGCGGCCATAGTCAGAGGATTCGCGTAATGTCACGTCCCCTCGCGTATGTTGACTGTCTCCTCACACGGATCGTGCCCCACAGGGAGTTGCACGGACGGCCCTAGAGCCAAGGTTCGCATCCCGCCGCCTCGCCCATGCCGGCGCACCCCTGACCTGGATCGTGAGTCCGGGGCGTTTGTAGTGCTTCTCGGGGCCTGACGGCGTTTGTTTGTGGGTCCTCTTGAAGCCCTGAGATGAGTCGTGAATCGAGGGCCTGTTGGAGCCTTGGGAAGCTTCCTGGGAGCATTTTGGAAGCATTATGGAAACTCTGCAGACCTCTTGGGCTTTCTTGGGGGTCCTTTCTGGGCTCTTGAGGGCCGGCTGTAGGCCCTGGGCTGTCCTGAAGCCCTTTTGGGCCGTCCTGAAGGCCTGGGGCCGTCTTGGAGCCCTCTGGGGGCCCTCCTCGGCCGTCCAGGGGCCTCCGATGGCCCTCTTGGAGCTCCCTTGGGGCCCCTGTGGGACACTCTGGGGCCCCTCTTGGCCGTCTTGGGGCTCTCTTGGGCCGTCTCGGAGCCCTCTTGGGCCATCTTGGGACTGTCTTAGGGGGCCTCTTGGGCCTTCGGGTGTCCCGTGGGGCATCTGTGGGGCGCGCTGCACGCCATCTTGGAGCCAACCTGGGCGTCCGGGGGCTCTGGCGGCCGTCTTGGAAGCCTCTTGGGCCGTCTTGGAAGCCTCTTGGGCCGTCTTGGGAGGATCTCAGAAGGCTCTTGGGCCGTCGTGGGACGCAGAATGTCCAGAATGACGAGGACGTCAAAATCTATCAAAAACCTTAGGAAAAGCGTTGATGTTTGCATGTCGCGGCGCTCTTGGGAGTATTGTGGGCTCATTTGGAGCCGTTTGGGGGCCGTCCTCGGGCGTCTTGGGCCGTCAGGAAGCCATGAAATGTGTTTCAGCCGATCGTTCGGCGCGCGGGCGGCTGGTTGGGAAAGCTTGGAAGTCCGTTCGAAAGGTGCCCCGGGGCCGGGGAAGACCGTCGAAAAAGGTACGGGGGTGTGTGGGCCATCCAGGGGGGTCCATGCAGGATGTAGAACTATAGGTGTGTATATATGGATATACACACACATACGTGCATACGTACATACGTACATACGTACATACGTGCATACGTACATACGTACATACGTACATACATGCATACATACATACATACATACATAGAGACCTACATACATATATATATATATATATATATATACATACATACATACATACATACATACATACATACATACATACATACATACACATATACATACATACATACATATATACATACATACATACATACATACATACATACATACATACATACGTACGTACGTACGTACGTACGTACGTACGTACATACATACACACACATACATACATACATACATACGTACATACATACCTACATACATGCATACATACACGCATACATTCGTTTTTCCTCCAGCGAAGATGAGAGAGAGAAGGAAAACCGGGATAGGGTGCCGATCCGAAGGCATCTTTCTTCACCCTGGTGAAGGGCGCCGTGTCACCACGGGCCAGCCGACACGACGCCCCCCCATGAACCGACAAAGCGAAGATTTCTGCTTCAAGCCGTCGTAAATCTGTATACACACATATATATATGTGTGTGCGTGTAGATATATGTGCGCATAGATGCATTGCAAATGATACCGGTAATTAGGGAGATAACTGGGATCGATAACTACGGAGATCGATTGATATGCATCGATATCGCTAGATCGATCGATCGCAAGCCCGATCCAACGCCATCCGCGAATCACAAGCTGCACGCTCTCTCACACACAAGCACCCCAATAAACCTCATCGCCTGAAGGACTGTCTTATCGGTCTTTATACAGACATGTCTATATGTACACGCATACATGCATGCAGACATACATGCATACATACACATATGTACACATATCAGTTTGAACAAAATGCATGTACATGTACATCTACATAGCATAAACATAAACAAATGCATAGACATATACCTACTCAAAACCATATACATATAAGTATACATGAACATTTACGTATCCAAATACATATTCATGTACATATACGTGTATACTCACATACGTATACACATATACAAATCCATGTGCACGTACACATACATATAAATAAACATATACGAATACACATACATGTACCTAGACATGCATGCATGTGCCTATATATGTCTATGTATATGCATGTACACATACATGTGCATAGACTATACCTAATTGTATACATATGGCTATGCATAAACAAATATGTATATATAGTTATGCATGCGTACATACGACCATACATGTACGTACCGATAAACATATACATAGACATGCCCATATACATATACATATATATATATATATACATACATATACAAATATATATATATATATATGTATGCGTACACCTGTACGTGCATGCATGCATACATACATACACGCATACAAAGCGATGAGGAGCATGGTATCAGAAATGTGTGCCCTCGTTTTGCTCACACCACGCCGATCCGTTCGAGGAGTCTATAAAAGAGCCGAAGGCATAGCTCAAGGTGCCTCGAGCACTTCCCAGCAAATGTGATCCTTACTTCAGCGCTCCGACTGTATTGATGCAGATGGTTTCGAATAGGCTCTATTACTGTCTAGAGCTCCCCAACGCCTTGGAAAACGCAACATGCCAACATATACACAGGGGCGTACCCAGTCAATTTGCAGCCAGACGCAACATCCACGAGCCGATACATTACGAGTGATGATAAGAGAAGGCGCGCGATATCCTGAAAGCCGCCGAATGGGCCACATAAAAAGCCGTAGTGTGGGGCAAGCCCCACAAGGCTCGTGTTGGGCAATACCAAGTAAAAGGACACTTAGGGAGGGGAAAGATACAAGACGACGATAAGAGATGATGGGGACTGTCTACGGATGAGCACGAGAGCAACGGTAAGAATGGGATAAGGAATAATCTCGAAGGCGAGCAGGAAGGCGGTGACCAAAAAATTAGCCTGGCGAAGGACCCAACCATATGCAGCTGCGAGTACCGCACGGATATGAGACGAAGGAGGGGGCACGCAAACTAGGCCCCTCTTCTCATAGGCACCGCGCCACTGGGGCCTTCGGTGGAGCTCCCTATGGGGCCACGAAACGTGTGAGGGGTGTGCCGAAATGGGTGGTGGGGAGGCACGCGGACCCTACCACTGGGGCCTTCGGTGGAGCTCCCTATGGGGCCACGAAACGTGTGAGGGGTGTGCCGAAGTGGGTGGTGGGGAGGCATGCGAACGCAGCCACTGGGGCCTTCGGTGGAGCTCCTTATGGGGCCACGAAACGTGTGAGAGGTGTGCCGAAATGGGTGGTGGGGAGCCACTGGGGCCTTCGGTGGAGCTCCCTATGGGGCCACGAAACGTGTGAGGGGTGTGCCGAAATGGGTGGTGGGAAGGCATGCGAACGCAGCCACTGGGGCCTTCGGTGGAGCTCCCTATGGGGCCACGAAACGGGTGGTGGGGGGCATGCAAACGCAGCCACTGGGGCCTTCGGTGGAGCTCCCTATGGGGCCACGAAACGTGTGAGGGGTGTGCCGACATGGGTGGTGGGGAGGCATGCGAACGCAGCCACTGGGGCCTTCGGTGGAGCTCCCTCTGGGGCCACGAAACGTGTGAGGGGTGTGCCGACATGGGTGGTGGGGAGGCATGCGAACGCAGCCACTGGGGCCTTCGGTGGAGCTCCCTATGGGGCCACGAAACGTGTGAGGGGTGTGCCGAAATGGGTGGTGGGGAGGCATGCGAACGCAGGAGGGAGGAGGGCGAGGAGAAGGAGGAGGAGGAGAAGGAGGAGAAGGAGGAACGCGGGGACCGTTTCCTCAAAACGAGGACCCAACACCACAGGATGGTTGGGAAAAACCCGAAAAACAGCAACCCCCAAACCACTCGCGACATCGTCGTCGTCGTCGCCGCCGCCGTCGCTTCGGGGCTGCTGCGGCAGCGATCGGCGATCGCGATCGGCAGGCGGGCGCGCCGAGGGCTCGGCCGAGGCCGCGGCCCCCTCCCCGGGCTCGCCGGCCTGGGCGCGGAGAGCCCGCAGGGCGCGGCTCCGCAGGGCAGTGGATTGTCGTCGTCGTCGTCGGCTCCTCCCCCTCCTCATTTTCAATGCAGGAGGCATCTAGACACCCCCGCCGTGCCTGGCCAGGGCCATCCTGTGCGTTGACAAGGTGTAAACGCCACCTTGCCGAGGCCAGGAGGGTGTATACACCATCGTGGGTACCAGGACGGGACTGGCCAGATACGGTGGTGTATCGATGCCTTCTGCGGATCCTCGTCCTCGTCGTCTTCCTGCCCCTGCCGACAAGAAAAACAGCTTACTTCGAGGGATCCCCCCCCTCCCGAGAACAGGAGGCGGAATACCCAGGGAGCAACGGAACACTTGGGGCCTGGCGGCCGCGGTATGCAGTCGTCATTCGTCGAAGACGCGAGGCGGGATACCCAGGGAGCACCAGGACCCTTCGGGCCTGGCGGCCGCGGTACGCAGGGAGAGCGAGGCGGGTCGGGAGCTCTCTTCTCTGAGTCTGACAAGCCCAACCTGTCGGGTGGGAAAAACGCGGCTTGCCTGGACCCCGGAAGGCATCGGCTCGGGGCGAAAGAGCTGCGGGACCTCGTGTTGAGAGAAAAAAAAACAAAAACAAAAAAGAAAAAAACACGTCAAAGGTGGTCTGCGTCGCATTGCTCCCCTGACACCCTTGCGTCGCGAAACATTATAAGCTCCCAAGGGGGGCCTGTGGCCCTCCCATCCTTACCCGGCTTGAGACTCGAACAGGGAGCTTTATCCCTCCCTCCCCTCCTCCTCTTCCTCATCCTCCTCCTCTTCTTCTTCCTCCTCCTCCTCCTCCTCCTCCTCCTCCACCTCCTCCTCCTCCTCCTCCTCCTCCTCCTCCTCTTCCTCTTCCTCCTCCTCCTCCTCTTCTCCTCCTCCTAGCTCCTCCTCCTACCCTCCTCGATCATATCATCCTCATCATCAGCATCCATCATCATCGTTACCATCCATCACCACATGCACATCATCATGATCAGTATCAACCATCATCATCCATCATCATCTCAATCAATCATCATCAATCAATCATCAGGGGACGTTCTGTTTCAATCAAGCAGCACAAGCAGCATCCTCTTTCATCATCACAAGCGCGAGGCAGCCATCAGCAATCAGCCATCAGCAATCATGGTCAACATCATCAACATCATCATCATCATCATCATCATCAACTATCAATCATCATCACAGTCATCATCATCTCAGGATGATCAGCATCATCCTCCTCCTTCTCCTCCTCCTCCTTCTTCTCCTTCTCCCCTCCCTCTTCTCCCCTCTTCTCCTTCCCCTTCTCCCTCTCCCCACGCTCCCTCCTTATTCTCCCTTCATCTCTTTTCTCCTCCTTCCTCACTCCTCCTCTACTCCTCCTCCTCCTTCCTCCTCCTGCTCGTCCTCCTATTCGTCTTTCTTCTTCCTCACCCCTCCTCATCCTCTCATCTCCTCATCCTCATCTCATCCTCCTCCTCCGCATCCCTCCTCCCCTCTCCCTCCGCTCCCTACCCTATCCTTCTCCTTCCTTCCTCCTCCTCCTCCTCCTCCTCCTCCGCCCCTCCCCAACTCCTCCTCCTCCTCCTCCTCCTCCTCCTCTCCTCCTCCTTCTCTTCTCCTTCTCTCCTCCTTCCTCCCGCGTCTCTCGCTCGTCCTGTCTCCTCGTTCCTCCTCTTCCTCCCTCCTCGTCCCCTCCTCCTCCTCCTCCTCCTCCTTCTCCTCCTCGTCCTCCTCGTCCTCCTCGTCCTCCTCGTCCTCCTCGTCCTCCTCCTCTTCCTCCTCCTCATCCTCCTCCTCCTCCTCCATCATCATCATCATCATCATCATCATCATCATCATCATCATCATCATCATCAACATCAACATAAGCATCATCAGCATCAGCATCTGCAGCAGCATCCTCATCAGCAGCAGCAGAAGAAGCATCCGCATCATCATCCTCATCATCAGCATCATCATCAGCATCATCAGCATCATCATCATCAGCATCACCGTCATCATCCTCAGCATCATCATCCTCATCATAATTATCAGCATCATCATCACCCATCATCAGCATCATCAGCTCAGCATGAGAAAGCCTTATCCACTACTGCCCCCATACCTTGAATAGGCATTGCATGTACCACACACTCGACAAGAACGACTCGATGGTCCACCGTCTGATCAAAAGTAAGATCCAACTAATCCGACACCCATACACTCCGCACATGATGGAGCTTGCTCCTCAAGATGCAAATGTAGTCCAAGCGCGATGGCTTGCCGCGGGGTGGTCGCCACGTCCACGCCCCAACACGAAAGGTACTGATGGCTGCCATGTGCTGCGCCCCCAGAGCTGTCCGCATGAGTGAGCCATGGGCGTTCCTCCTCCTCTCCCTCCCCCTCCTCCTCCTCCTCCTCCTCCTCCTCCTCCCCCTCCTCCTCCTCCTCCTCCTCCTCCTCCTCCTCCTCCTCCTCCTCCTCCTTCCAGCACGAGCGCCGAGCCCGCGGGCCTCGTCCACACCCAGCCCGGGCGGCGCCCCGAAATCCACGTCGCCGGACGAGCCGGCACTGTCGGAGCGCATCGTGCCGAGGTACCTCGGGCCACAGGGCCGACGGCGTCGGCGGCGTACGGCGTCACCACGGTAGGCGTCGCCGCGGTTGGCGTCGACGTCGTCGCTGTCGCTGTCGCAGGAGGAGGGGGGGAGTAGGAGGAGGAGGAGGAAAAGGAGGAGGAGCAGGAGGAGGAAGAGGAGGAGGGGTGGGGGAAGAGGAGGAGGACGAGAGTTGGATTCGTCACGTCTGCGGTGATAATCTGGGGCTGTCAGCTGGCGGCCGCACTTCGAACCAGCCGCATCCACTAGCCGCCGGCGCCGGCCGGGTACACGTCACCAGCAGGACACTCTTGTCAGGGGAACGAGGGCGGAGGGAGGGGGCGAGCGAGGCAGGGAGCCACACCCTCCCTCCCTCCCTCATTCGTCTCTCCTGGAGAGGAGAAGAAAGAGGAAGAGAAGGAGAAGGAGGAGGAGGAGGAGGAGGAGGAGAAGAAGGAGCGGGAGGAGGAGGTCAAGAGAGGACGGGGAGGAAGAAAGATGACAAGTGAGAAGGAGGAAAAGGTTTAGGAGGAATAGTAAGAGAAGAGAGATGAGGGGGAGGAAGATATATCAGAAGGAAGAGAATGATAAGAAGGGGAGAAACAAACTGATGGTACCGACAAAAATCACCGTCAACAACGGCCATGACCTCCACAGCTCCCGCACCTTGACGTATCATAAGGAGGGCGGGAGCAATGTGTGCCTCGGATATGGATGTATTGCCACCCAGGCAGTGCGGAACTTGAAGGGGGAGTGCCCCAGATGTTGAATAATTGAGGCGAGCAGCAACTAAGGAAGTTACAGAAAGCTCTGCCTCCAGGCACGTACAAGCTTGCCAAGCTCTAGACCCAGAACGCGAGAGCTTAAGCCAATATGTTTCACTCTGCCTCATGCTGGAAGAAGCACAGCCATTATCCTCCTCCTCCTCCTCCTCCTCCTCCTCCTCCTCCTCCTCCTCCTCCTACTCGTCTTTCCGTCCCCATCCTCCTCCTCATACTCCTCCCCCCTCCTGTAGTTCAACGTATGTGTGCGCATGCTGGGGCTGATGCGCGATCTCTGGCGTAGCTGGCTCCACGGCATCGAAAAATCGTACTGTACACAGGCCATGCTTAACACCTTGTTCAGGCTGGGCTCGAGGATCCTGGGGCTTGGCCCACCGAGGATGCTGCGGCTGACTCTTCCAGACGTGGTCACATGCAATGCACAGCACTACTGTGAAAGAGCATGAGATGTGAGCAGCCTGGGCATTCCCACGTGCAAGGCCCAACGCCGCCCAAGGGGCAGTGCAAAAAAAAACACACGAGAAGGCATGATGACGCGCTCGAGCTGCGCGTTGACCCCGTTGCCAGGCAACCTGTTCGGCTGCTAAGCGGCCAGTTCCACAATCCTTTCCTGCCGCTCCTCCTCAAACTCCTCCGCATGCCCCCAATTCAAAGACTTCCGACGTGGTGATTTTTGTCGCGTGGACCCCCAGAAAACTGGATCATTTCCACGGGATCGCGTTTTCATCCCGACTTATTGTTTGACAGCCTGGTAGCCCAGCAAGGGCCCCAAAATGCAGAAAATTGGCCAGAACCGTCCGTCGTCCTCATCCTCCTCCTCCTCCTCCTCCTCCTCCTCCTCCTCCTCCTCCTCCTCCTCCTCCTCCTCCTCCTCCTCCTCCTCCTCCTCCCCCTCCTCTTACTACTCCTCCTCATCATCCTTCTCCTCGTCCTCGTCGCGGCACCCGAAGACGTCGTCGCCGCCCAGGGACGAGAAGGCCGACGGCATGCTCGAGGGGAGGCTCAGCAGGGATCCCACGCGCCGCGAGCCCCCTGGGCGGCAGGGAAGGCGACACGAAACGATCGTCATCCTGTCCTCCCCCTCCTCTTCCGCCTCCTGTTCCCCCTCTTATTTTCCCTGCTCCGCCTGCTCTTCCTGCTCTCCTCCTCCTCCCTCCCCTCCCCTCCTCCTCCTCCTCCTCCTCCTTTCCTGCTCCTCCTCCTCCTGCTCCTCCTCCATCCTCCTCCTGCTCATCATCATCCGTCTCCTCCCTCTCCACCGCATCCTCCTCCTCCTCCGCCGCCTCCTCATCATGGCATCCTCATCACAGGCACCCTCATCACCATCACCGTCATCCTCCTCCTGCTCATCATCATCCGTCTCCTCCCTCTCCACCGCATCCTCCTCCTCCTCCGCCGCCTCCTCATCATGGCATCCTCATCACAGGCACCCTCATCACCATCACCGTCACCATTTGATAACCGACCCACGCGTCAGCTTGAAAAGCGCGGGAAACGAATTAGAGGAAGAAAACGTTCGCTCTACGAGCGCACGCCATGTACATCAGACCCCGTAGTGCAGAGCCCCCTGTCCTGGCAAAATGCTACTCGTGGGGACGGG